CCAATGCTTTATCTACACGCTGCTGCTAGTTGCTACATCCTTGTATTGCACAGTTGATGCAGGATCTATGGCTATACAAGATCAAAGCTGCAATAATTACTGCTCTGCTGTTTGAGATAGTGGCTTTGAACTTCTAATGCTTCTTATGCTTAAAATCATGATGGTCTCTATCTATCCATAAAATGCTGTTACTCAAGATTTGGAACTTCAGGTGCTATCTGTGTCTCAAAAGGAGACATCAAGCTATTAATTCTGTTTTCATATACTAAGGTTTATGGCTATTTACCACATTCTGTCTGGACTTTTCTATTCTATATAATTATGCTGGAAGCCAACTTGTAATTGAATGGAATTATCACACGAGTCCATCTTAAGAATTAGTCAGCCAGGCTGTTATCTATTTATTCTATCATTTAGAAGTATAAAAGATTCATAGTATCATGCAGGTAGGATATTGATTTTTCAGCTTTAGATAATCAGTGTTAAGAGGGTTTCATAATAGTTATATTTTTAATGATTGGTTTATGTAATAACTTCCAAGGAGTTTATTCAGATGCAGGGTTTTTCTTTTGTTTCAAAAGTTACATGCTGTAATAAAATGTGTCTACTATTCATGCTCTAGTGTTAATCCTCTTTTATTGGTTTGTCAAGGTAATATTTAAATCAACTATAATCCAGCTGAACATATTTATTGGTTATACATTGTGGTCCTTTAAGACCTGATTGTTCATAAGGTATGAGATGAGCAGTAAAGTCTCCCTGTAAAATGTTTTTTTAAAAGATGGCAACTATGTCAATTATCGCAGTAATAAAGCAGTATATCTTTAACCCCTTCGTGACGGGAGACGTACACTGTACGTCCCGCCACAAAGGGACCAAATGACTTGTCACGTACACTGTACGTGACGAGTTATTTGCTGCACTAGAAGGCTGGTAACCGCTGAGAATCAGCGGTTAGCATTCATTAATGTATGCCTCAGTATAGAGGCATCCATTAATGAAAGGGTTAACCTTTTTCAGACACCCGATACCTTAATATCGGGTGTCTGAGAGTCAAAGCAGAGCGTGCACACATGCCGGCAAAAGCCAGCATTCTGACAGCTCGTATAGATCGAGAGCTAGGTCTCTCAAGCTATACTGGCTTTTTTTTTTTCTTTCACTTTCAGGGATACATAATTCCTGAAAGAAGAATGTTTCAGTTTTCTGATAGTTGTTGGAACAATCAGAAAACTAGTGACAGCTGAATCCTGAACTGCTGCAGGATCAGTGTCACTAACTTATTATCGGCTGTTCTGAAGTTTGAAACAGCCTGATAACCAAAAATGTATTAATTTATCAAGCAGTAAGAGTGAGATTAATTCACGACTGCTTGATATAATTAAATAAAATAACATTTTTAAGTTTAAAAAAAATAGTGAAAAAAGTGTAAAAAAATAAAAATAAGGGACAGATAAATGAATGTATTTATTGCATTTTTTTTTAGCTGTGCTGGTTTTGTAAAAAAAATACCGTACTACAAATCAAAACTGCTTTTTTTACGTTTTTTTTTGTCCTAAGTGAGGCGTTAGACACACATATGTGATATAAATATGTAGCCCTATCCGTCCCCTAAAAAACAATATATAATATGTGTGGGTGCACTTTAAGTATATTACTGACGTGAATCACACAGCAAAAATGTCAAAAGTGTGTCATTTACGAACAGAAACTAAAAACAAGCTCAGTCATGAAGGGGTTAAATATTGTTTAAAGTAACTGATAATCATAATAAAAGCTGCTACCCACAACTAATGGCTTCCTGCATGCCAGACCACTGTAAATCAGAAAGTGTTGGCCATGTCCGTGTTGTCGGTTTCCTTCTCCTTGCCACGCAGTGAGACTCCCATCATTATTATGAGCCAATAGGAACGTAGGAGTTCGAGAGAACCAGTTGCAGATTCAAAACAACTAGGCAGTCGGGCATGCAGTCACTTCAACAAAAGTAAATTGAACAAAATTGCCTTTTGTCGAACAGAGGAGTGTCAACAGAGCCACACACTGCTTGAATTTAGGCCAAGTCACTTACTACAGTGTTCGCAGATAGACGGAGTGAAAATGTGCAAAAGGGACACAGATAGCAATAAAAAGCTGAAAGGGCTTTTAGCTGTCCCCTACCCTGCAAAAAAAAAAAACAGCATTTTTAATCGTCTGTGTCCCTGTTGAAGATTTTCCTCCAGTTCCTGCCTGGTGAAATTGCCATCACCAGGACAGAGAGTAAGTGAAAATATTTAACCATAAACAGCAGTGAAATTCCAGCAAAAGTTCTAATCCCCCACTCTATCCAAAACCAAACATCTCACCTGATCCAATTTTTTAGGTAACAATCATATGTTTGCAGGTCATTCCATGTCCCTGGCTACCATACCCCACTGGAAATTAACATGTATGTTTTTAGTATGGTCTTTAAATCAGAAAAACTAACCTATTTATTCAGCTTGCTGTGATCTAATTAAATAGCCCCCTACAGATATAAAACTATGTCCACACAAAACTCTTTTTGCAAACTTGGGATAGAGTAGGGATGATTTAGAACTAGGGATGCACAGATACTAGGGCCGATACTTGCCATTTTCACAAAAACTGCCAGGGTCGCAGTGGTGGCAGCTGCGACTGGGCCCTGGTGCCCCACCACTGTCCTGAAATCATTAGTCTGTACAGTTTTAGAAAAACTGTCACATGACACTAAACAAAAATGTATCAGTAATTGTTATCTGCGTCTACTTGGACAGGTATCAGTACTTGGTCTGGAAAAAATGGTATCGGTACATCCCTAATATACATTATATGTATTTTAAACCAATTTTACACTTAACAGGGATGCACAATTCCCAGGAGCCCCGTAGCTAATGAACCTTAAAAATTACAGATGCCTCCTAACTTTTGAGATTTTCCTCTAGTTTACTCTTGGAGCTGGAAAAGTTTCAGTACTTGTGCCAAGTACGAGACCTTGGAATCTGTGCATCCCTAGTTAGAACAATTGTCAAATTTTCACTGCTATTCAATCTCTAGGAGCATTTATTGTTTTATTTAGCCTGTTTTGATCTACACTGCTGATTTCTAAACAAAAAAACACAAAAAAAAGGATGCATTTTAGATTACAACCCCAATTCAAAAAAACCTGTGTAAAATCGATCTAAAAACAGAATGCAATGATTTTCAAATCCATAAATATATATAATCCATATATTTTATACACAATAGAAAACATCCACTGGGAACGTACCATTCTAAGAAAAAAATAAGGTAATTTTGAAATTGATGGCAGCAACAAGTCTCAAAAAAGTTTGGACAGGGCCATGTTTACCACAGTGTAGCATACCGTATTTTTCCGTGTATAAGACGCTACTTTTTCATAAAAATCTTTATCTAAAAATAGACGTGCGTCTTATACACGGGGGCCGCGGTTTTGAAAGTGCTGATACAACTGCAAACTAGCCTCACGGATTGCAGAGACAAGATAACAGTTCTCCTCCAGTCATAAATCTTTTTAACCTGACGTGAGCTGTTGCTGGGGAGATCGTGTAGGCAGTGCCCAGAGCGGTAATGTCGGAGTATTCTGTGACCATAAAAATGTCAGAAAGTGAAAAACAACCTGTAAACTCTCTAAACTCATGGTATGGTGTCAAACAAGAGGTGATTGTAAAGTCCTTCAAGAAATGTGGAATCAGCAATGCCATGGACGGAACTGAGGATGATCTTGTATAGACAGTGACTCAGCAGACAGCAGTGATGCAGCAGAAGTTGAAGAAACTGATATGTTTGAAGCTAAAAGTGATGAAAAAACCAGTGATGCAACAGAGGCTGAATAAAGTGATTGGCTCAGAGGTAAGTGTGATGCATAATATCATTTAAAATATTGATTTCTGAATTTTGGGTAAGAAAAGTTGGGGGCGTCTTATACATGGGGGCGTCTTAGACGGAAAAATACGGTACCTCTTTTAACAACACTGTAAACATTTCGGAACGGAGACCAGTTGCTGGAGTTTTTGGAAAGGAATGTTGTCCCATTTTTGCCGGATATAGAATTCTAACTACTCAACAGATATGGGTCTTCTTTGTAGTATGTTTAGTTTCAAGATGCACCAAACATTTTAAGTTGGTGAAAGGTCTGGACTGCAGGCAGGCCAGTTATGCACCTGAACTCTACTACAACGAAGCCATGGCGTTGTCATAGATGCAGTATGCAGTTTAGCATTGTCCTGCTGACATATAAAAGGTGTTCCCTGAAAAAGATGTTGTCTAGATAGGAGCATATGCTGCTCCTAAACCTGGATATATCTTTCAGCAGTGATGGTGCCTTTCCAGATCTGCAAGCTGCTCATTCCATATACACTAATCCACCCCCATACCATCAGAGACGCAGGCTTTTGAACTGAACGCTGATGAGCACCTGGTGACGGAGCATGGAGAATGCTTCCTGGCTAGTCAGGAGGCTCTGTGGCCGAAAAACCGGTAAAAATATATATTTTTTTTCTATTAAAAAAAAAGTACCCATGAGGATGACATTATAATCACCTGCTTCAGCCCTTTGGACTCCTAAAACTGAGGGTGGCTCCCAAGTGGATTGCCTGGGGGACCAGTTGAATGGTCAGATAGGAAAGCCAGCTGGAAATCACCACTCTCAAATGGCTACCATGCCTGTACAGGAGGTACTTGTAAGCTACCCTTCTGCGGTTAGCTCTGTTTTCTTGCTGATAAGCGTGAAACAGCACCAACAGTCCAAGGAACAGGAGGATTTTTCTGTACATTTATCCAGGGTCAAAGTGAAATAAATAGTTGACGACTGTGGAATTATCCAAACCAATTAAATTTGCTAATTACATAAAGAATCTCATGTGATTTAATAAAACAAACAGTTATTACAAGCATTTCATGGGGAAATAATGCTCTTATCGGGAAAAAAAAGTTTTATTTCAGTAAATGCAATTCTGCATATAGTGTAACATGCAAAATTAACTTACCCACAAAGCCATTTTCTCCCACCAGCTTCAACGCAATCTTGTCTGCCAAAACTGAAGAACTGCCATGTGCTATGTTAGCAAAAGGACCAGCATGAACAAACACTGGTGTTCCCTGTTAAAATAAAGTTTAAAAAGAACCAGTTACACTAGATGCATTTGCTTTTCAATGGATGAAAAATTAAAACATATAAGACAAAATTAAAAAAGGGGGGGAAAAAACAAAACCTAAGTTCCATTGATCTGCATTCAGAAGCCAAGTCTCTAAAACACCTTGTAAAGTAACATGCAATGTTTAAAGCGGGGCAAAACTCAGCACAGCCAATGTGAAAGAGTTTCCTCTGTCATACAAAATAATATTCTACCGCAGATCTCCGTGACTAGCCAAGAGTTGTAAAAACTAACAGAAATATTTTGGTTACACAACAGTATTGATTTGGGAGAAATATGAACACATACTTTGGACTGAAGAATAGATGATATAGGAGACTTTCAAAAACAGATCTTGTTATTTTATATGTACTTTATTATTCATATATGTGCATGTCATTTGTTTTTGCACTTTAATCTTCTAAACTGCTATATTCACAATGAGTATGGTAGTAAAAAAAAAATAATAATAACAATAATACAGTCCTTACAGGGTAAAGGAGAAGTAACCACTTATTTTCACTGATTTAGCAGGCAACAAGATCCATTAGAAGGATAGTGTAGGAGAATAAAGCACTACAAGGGGAGTAACTGACAGAAAAGCACTCTCCTGCAAAGAGGAGTAAAGCAAGATATTGTTTTCAGCATCAACCTTGCACAGGGCATATGTAGATTCTTGTGCAATGCATTAGTATTTCGTCCTACCTAATGGAGAACTTTGAGTTCAAACAGGATAACATTCTCATGGATATTCCCATGGGCGTTACCAGAGCAGGAATTAGTTTCCAGGTTGTAGTAATACAAGAAATGGCAGCTAAAGAATGTGTCTAAATCCAAGGGTCTAAAGTGGAAGCTACAAGGGGAAGCCTGAGCATCCTAACTGTGGTTGTCTACAAGGCAATACTGTAGTATTCGATAAATAATGGGGTTCCTCAAGGGCAGAACCAAAAAGAGACCTCCCTGTAAAGCCCAAGTAAAACACAAATTCCTTAAAGTCCAATTAAACCTTTGGGGGGAAGGGGGGTTTACATACATCTACTGCAAGCAAGCAGTACATATATGCAAAAACATTTTTAAAAATAAAAAAAAAAGTTACCAACTTTCCTCTGTCTCCGCCACTGGCTCCCGTCCGAAGATCTGAAGATTCGAGTGGTTGAGCAGGATCATGGGGCGGGCATATGTGCAGTACAGATCTTCGGTGGGGAGCAGAGGAGAGACACAGTGGAGCTGAATGCACGCAGCCGGGAGCGTGCGCGTTGGACAGACTTTGGGACAGGAAGAGACATGAGTCTGTGGTGAATCATAGTGCACTGGAGGGACTTCTGAATACAAGCGGAAGGAAGATGATCGGATCAAGAGGCATCATGTAAGGTAAGTGCTTATATTTGTGACTTTAATGTCACTTTAAGGTCACAATTCGCATTCCAGGAATGATGCCAAAGTGCTTAACAGTATGCATATGGATAGCCAAAGAACATACAAGACACAAGCTTAGATGCTTGTAAGAGATTGCCATAGCTGAACTGCTGGACTCCAAGACATTTGTTCCAAAAATTCAAAGACAAGGGTTTGTACCCGAAATGGAGGTCTCCAGGAGATGTGATCCACAAATGACATGGTTTCAGAAATGGGAGTCAGGGCCAATAGAAGATGGAGTCATTCCAGATAACTTAAACTGGGTTCTAAGAAGCAAGTTCAACTGCCTGTCAGTGAAATCCCTAAAAGCTAAAATCATCATCAACCTGTTTGGCGGTAAGTTCATTAACATGGATGACTTAAGTGTCTACAGTGGGCAAAAAATACTTATTACATTTTCCTTTCAAAGGGAAAAAGCTCCTTCACATTGTCAGCAGGTAACCATTTAATTAGGTTGTTTCCAGTCCTCAGAGGAATGTTTTACATACCAAGTGTATTGGGAAGGTCTTTGCAGCTGCAAGAGCTCTACACTAAGTGGCCAGATTATTATGACCACCTGACGTTTGTAGGCAAATTAGCTATAATTTCGCGCTGAAGTTGCTAGAGAGCCAGACCATTATAAATAGGGAAGCAGGTTGTTTACCACGACAGTAGAAGTGATTTTTTTTCTGAAGATATGGGTAAACAACGCGATTTAACAGCCTTTGAACGTAGGATGATTGTTGGCGCTCGGAGCCATGGAGCGAGTATCAGCAAAACAGCAGAATTTGTTAAATGTTCAAGAGCAGCTGTTGTTAAAGTGTTTAAAGACTGGACTGTCAGCCGAAAATCTCGGTCTGAACGTGCGAATTGTGGCCGTCAGCGACTAGTCAATGTTAGGGCAGAACGGAGAGTGGCAAGACTGGTACAAGACAACAGAAGGGCAACAGTGCAGTGTCAGATTCCTCGCATCACCTTTCAACATCTCGTGGAGTCACGAGGCGGCCCAACGAAGTCATCACGTGGAGTCATCTCGTGGCCCACCGAAATACTGATGGGCTGGTCATAATAATCTGGCCACTCAGTGTATAAACACCATGTGCCTGGAGAAGATGGCTGATCCTCCAACTGCAGGGTAGAACGTACTACATCAAATCAGATTATAAAGATTTCCTTAAAAAGTTGAGTCATAGGGAAATTGGTGAAATACAGTCTCTTCAGTAGAAGACTGAGGACTCTGAATATGAATGGTAAGAGGGGTGACAGGCACACTGCGGTAGAGGTCCAGTAAGGTCAGAATTAGATTTTGTTGTGGATTGCGTCAGTGCATGCTTAGAGTCCCTGCAAGCATATTGCTCCGTTAATGGTGTGCAAAAATCTGATATTGGATATTAGGGGTTTGCATACACATGGGATGTCTCATCTACCACTGTGGCACTATACAAGACTCCAATGAAGATGACCCTAAAGTAATATGGGTTGCAGGATGTAGGTTATATCCTGGCATTGGACACTTCTGAGGATACCGAAGAATCTCCCCAAGCAACAATGGAGCGGAGGTCACCTGTTGCGAGCAGGACTAACCTCAGAGTCTTTTAAAAAGGACATGTTGCACTGCATAGAGCAGAACAACTATGCCCAAAATGAGGCAAGACTTGACATACAAACGCAAGCAGCTGATGCTGAAGGGTTATAGGTGGCCATTGGTGACAAAGTAATTGTAGGCTGGCAGTGGAACTAGACCAAAGACCTGATGATCCACAAAGTGCTGGAGAAGTAAGCTCAGCAGTGGGATAATAATTCTAGGTTGAATAGCGGGAGAAAAGCAGACAGCGTAGACTCCACCTAGTGAGTATGTCAGCGCTCAGTTCCCTCAGTATTACCTGTTACCGCTGTAAAATTGCATGAATGTTAAAATGGCACCCAATGGTACCAACTGTAAGGTAAGCCCCTGGGGCTTTAGTCCGACCTGCCTTACTGACTATGCAATTTCTCACAGACTAGGCCACACCAGAGGCTGTGCTCCGGCTCTAGGCGCTGAAGGACACTTTGCAGTTAACAGAGTACACAGAGGTCTAGAAAGTGCCACAATGCAAAGCTCATTGCCTGAAGAACACATTCCAATAAAATCCAACAACCTTCCAGCAGAGTTCAGATCCATGCTCCAAAGCTTCTGTGCTGAGGATATACTGATGGGAAGGGCTGCCACGTAAAGGACTAGCTCAAGCAAAAAAAATACAAGAGGATTATAATTATTTTAAAGTAAACCTTTCACGATAGAAATACAGCAGTGCCATTCTCACTATGAAAAGCCACTTGACTGACAGTTATACTTTGACTCACTGACCTGCAGCACCTAAGTAAAATCATAGAAAACTTCAAGTATGGCAGTCAGACAACTGGCATTTTCAGGAGATCTTAGTTGCAGCTTTCTCATTAACTTTTCGTTCAAGCAATTTAAAAAAAAATTCTGTAGCGTGAAAATCAAAAGTTCTACCATTGGCAAGTGCCTAAATTGTTATATGAAAGCAAGTATATGAAAGCGAGTGAGAGAATATAAGTAGGTCTGCAACCAACTAATCGATTATAAGAATAGTTGTCAACTATTTATTGATTAGTTGGTTAGATCCCCTAGCTCTCTCCTCCATGCTGGGAGGGGGGCACAGCAAGCAGTGGGCAGGTGCAATAGCTAGCCTGCTATTGGCTATTGCAATTTGAAATGGCCAATAGCAGGCTAGCAATTGCTCCAGCCCACTATCTGCTGTATTTACAGTAAGCTGCCTTCTGTGGAATTTTGCCACTGGCAGCTGTCATTCCCTGGCTGAAGCTATTCAAGTGCCATGTGCTTACAATACAATTATTAAAAAGAAAATTATAAAAAGGTTGTAAAAAAGTAATTTTCGGTTTCGGCCTGACAAATTCTGCTGCTGGAGGTGCATTGCAGTGCCATTCATTTCAATGGCACCCCATTCGCGCCTCCCACCGACCCACAGTGTGATCGCCTGTATTGGAACGCACAGTACTGCAATGCTGTGCATTCCAGTGCAGTGCAATTGCAAAAAATTGTGGATGCAGTTTTATTCTGAAGTAAACCATGTTTGTAACACTCTATTTGTGTATTTTGTTTTAGATTAAGGATGGTATTTATTTATTTTATTTTTATCCGATTGAAAAAAAAAATCGCCCAACTAATCAATTATGAAAATAATCATTAGTTGCAGCCTTAAATAAAAGTATGTTTTTGTACTTTCAGGAGAAAAAAAAAATGATGTATACATTATACTGACATTAATGCACAGACTAGTTTAGGATTACGTGCCCTATTGCACATATCTTTACCATTCTCAAGCGTCAAAGCCGACAAAAAATTAAGTTCTTTGAAGCCTAATAATAGTACATCAACGTAAGAGGAGGTATTGTATCCGAGAACTATAGAAGTTGGGTAGGTTTTCCTCTAACATCCCTTTTCCTTCCAGTGTAGAAATACTTAAGGGATTCACCTCAACTCACCGAAACATTATCCTTAAACTTTTAAATATCCCAGATTTCATTTGACTATTTTATTCAACTTGTCACGTCCATCTGTCACTATCACAAAGTAATTTACATAGTTATCTAAGGGAATGTTTCAATGTGGTTAATAATCACAGTTCTAGGTAAAAAATTCTGGCAGCCTCCTGCGGCCAACATCTGTAAAAACATGAACCATCCTTTCATTACAGCAGTGTGAAAACAGATAACCCCCAGAAAATTCCCATATAGTATCCCAGCTCCTGGCTATACAGGCTTGCACAATCATGAAACAAAGGCAGGAAACTGCACATATATCAAAATACGAGCATATGGAGAAACGGTCAAGTGATGCATATTATCAGCATGTCAGAGGAGTTTATAAAAAATAAAAAGCAAAACAAACTTGATAATATATACAAGGTGTCCTGTGATGGATAATTTCTAAGTAGTACTTAAACAAATACAACACACATGCAAATCCTACCCTTTTTCACCTTGTTCCACTATCACTTACATGCTGAAACTGAAGTAATGACAGATTCCTCTACCATGTATAAAAAATAGATTGAATACTTCTATGAAGAATATGAAAAATATGAAAAATATAAAGAAAAAAAAAAAAAACTTTCTACAACCACTGTTAGAGAGCTTTTTGGAGGCAGCCATTACTGGTGATTATTTATTAAAACCATTTCACTGGCTGTCATTCTGATGCTTGGACTTTTATTGCTGTCCGAGTCACTGACCTGAAACAAATATAGAGATAAGTAGTTCTGACACTTTTCTGAGATTCATTTACAGCAGGCTTGTTCCAGGACCACCAATGAAAAATATCAAAGTTAGCCACAGCTCAGCATCTAAGCATTTTCAGAAGGTGGCATGCAAATGGCAGCTTCCATAAATCTCTTGTAACATACACTTTTGATTAAAAATTTTGGTGTGAATTGGCAATTTTAAATAGATTCAAAATAGCATAACATGTATGTTTTTCCCTAACACCTTACGAGTGAGGTTGGACAAATGAATGCACCTAATTTGAAGAGGGTTTACCAATATTTTGGGGTCTAGTCAGATGTAGATGGTCACCAGGCAACTGCCTGGTGGTTATTAGATAGCCTATATGAAAATAATCATTAGTTGCAGCCTTAAATAAAAGTATGTTTTTGTACTTTCAGGAGAAAAAAAAAATGATGTATACATTATACTGACATTAATGCACAGACTAGTTTAGGATTACGTGCCCTATTGCACATATCTTTACCATTCTCAAGCGTCAAAGCCGACAAAAAATTAAGTTCTTTGAAGCCTAATAATAGTACATCAACGTAAGAGGAGGTATTGTATCCGAGAACTATAGAAGTTGGGTAGGTTTTCCTCTAACATCCCTTTTCCTTCCAGTGTAGAAATACTTAAGGGATTCACCTCAACTCACCGAAACATTATCCTTAAACTTTTAAATATCCCAGATTTCATTTGACTATTTTATTCAACTTGTCACGTCCATCTGTCACTATCACAAAGTAATTTACATAGTTATCTAAGGGAATGTTTCAATGTGGTTAATAATCACAGTTCTAGGTAAAAAATTCTGGCAGCCTCCTGCGGCCAACATCTGTAAAAACATGAACCATCCTTTCATTACAGCAGTGTGAAAACAGATAACCCCCAGAAAATTCCCATATAGTATCCCAGCTCCTGGCTATACAGGCTTGCACAATCATGAAACAAAGGCAGGAAACTGCACATATATCAAAATACGAGCATATGGAGAAACGGTCAAGTGATGCATATTATCAGCATGTCAGAGGAGTTTATAAAAAATAAAAAGCAAAACAAACTTGATAATATATACAAGGTGTCCTGTGATGGATAATTTCTAAGTAGTACTTAAACAAATACAACACACATGCAAATCCTACCCTTTTTCACCTTGTTCCACTATCACTTACATGCTGAAACTGAAGTAATGACAGATTCCTCTACCATGTATAAAAAATAGATTGAATACTTCTATGAAGAATATGAAAAATATGAAAAATATAAAGAAAAAAAAAAAAAACTTTCTACAACCACTGTTAGAGAGCTTTTTGGAGGCAGCCATTACTGGTGATTATTTATTAAAACCATTTCACTGGCTGTCATTCTGATGCTTGGACTTTTATTGCTGTCCGAGTCACTGACCTGAAACAAATATAGAGATAAGTAGTTCTGACACTTTTCTGAGATTCATTTACAGCAGGCTTGTTCCAGGACCACCAATGAAAAATATCAAAGTTAGCCACAGCTCAGCATCTAAGCATTTTCAGAAGGTGGCATGCAAATGGCAGCTTCCATAAATCTCTTGTAACATACACTTTTGATTAAAAATTTTGGTGTGAATTGGCAATTTTAAATAGATTCAAAATAGCATAACATGTATGTTTTTCCCTAACACCTTACGAGTGAGGTTGGACAAATGAATGCACCTAATTTGAAGAGGGTTTACCAATATTTTGGGGTCTAGTCAGATGTAGATGGTCACCAGGCAACTGCCTGGTGGTTATTAGATAGCCTTGAAATCATTTTTCATGTCTACTCTACTTAGCTGTAAAGGACAAAAAGGTCTGGCAATTCCAAAATCTAGTAACCTAACCCAGGGATAAAGAAAAAAAGAAAACCCCCAAAAACCCTATCACAATTCAGAAACTCTGCAACTAATTACTGAATCGGAAAGGAACATCAGGTACGAATCAGCAAAAGGTGAGCAGATATGAAGATTGGTCTACAAAAATGAAGACCAGGGACTGTTTACTGTACTTTAATTCCAGTCATAAATATTCTTAACCCTTGCAGCAGTAGGACTACCCCTGTACTGCAAGGGTTAAGAGCTAATTTTTATCTAGGAAGCTAAAATAACAAAGATGTACTCAACTGAACCTTGCAGCCGGCTGGCTGTTGGACTGGTCCCTGAAGCCTTGCCCCCCCCCCCCCCCCCGGATCCACTGGTCTAAGGTCCTGTATACAGTGTATAGGACGTGAGGACGTCGAGGGACAGTCTATCGCTGGAGCGTAAGAGACAGGCTCCAGGGATCAGTCTAGCAGGCAGCTGGCTGCGAGGTTCAGGTGAGTAAATCTTTTATTTTCATCCCTAGATGCAAACAAGCATTTAAACCTTGCAGTGTAGGGAGTTTTCAGGGATTTTAGAAATTACACACAACAATCCATTTCTCTACAAGACCCCTGTATAATTAACCCATTGCCGTCCATCGTAAAAATACAGGTGGATGTCTATTACATCACTTATGCCTTTAGCGGTCACTTCTCTGGCTGCTATAGCCAGAGAGAAGAAGCTGGTGAAGCAGATATCTGCTTCTTTGGGGTCCCCAGTTGACATAAGGGGTCTTAGACAAGGAGGACCTGTCGTTTTTTGGCCATCACATAAGAGGATTTTTAGCCCCCTATGTAATAAATCAAGCTTAGTAAAAAAAAAAAAAAAAA